ATATCGGTTGCATTTATATCATAAAGAAGGATATAGAAGTAGATATAGATATATACGGGCATGCATGATACTGCACGAGCTTATTGCGTTACGTGCTTTTCGTTAAAACTTTGCCTGAGATGAGAAAGCTTTTATTATAAGTTAATGCATTATTTAGTTAATCTCATTCGCATGACCCTAGATGAGAAACTCAATCCTAATTCTAAATTCTTACCCACCCTCTATTTGTTCGAGATAATTTCATTTATAATAATAATAATATTAATAATACACGAACGAAGTATTTAAGTACACTGAAAAAAAATTGTTTAATTAGAATAAATAATTTTTATCCAAAAAAAATTCTTGAGAAATTTTTCTTATAATTTTTTTTAAATTTAAAATTCGTATTTTAGCGAAGAAAAATTTTACAACTTGAATCAAAAGTATATATAAAATATACGATAAAATTTTTTATAATTTTCGTCAATTGAGAATAATTTTGTTTTTATTTAATAATTTTATAGTATTGATTAAAGAAAGAGTTTTTTAATTAAAAATATTAAAAAAAAAAATATTTTATATCAAGATAATATTTTTCTTTAATCAAGTACTTTGCCTTTTTTTCCGTGCATTTGTTGCAGCGTTATTCTATTTTATTGCGTTAAATATTGACGGGAAGTATTTTACGTCTGGTAGTTTCTAGTCTCGTTGAAGAGCAGTGAGTGCACGTGTCATTTCACAAGAGAGTATTGGTGTAGAGAAAACGCGCGAGCAATGTATCGTGTAGTTGGCACTCAGAGTTTCCGTACCCGCCAGCAAAATGTCGAGTGTCGGTATATACGGTATAGGGGACTAGACATCCACCAGCAGATGCAATTATGTCAAAACACCGAGTGAGATAGCAAACCGAGTAGATAGATCGCTAGATACCTACTAACAGCCAAAGCGACGTTCAAAAGGACCGAGAGAAAGAGAAAAACAGAGGATAGGTAAGCGCCCTCTTTCGACCGTGCCTTCAACTATTTATCGTCACTCTAATTCCTCCTGTCAAACGAATTAAATACTTTGCTACTCTTCTCCTTTATTTTCATTTCAATTGAATTTTTTAAAAATTGAGTTTCTCTTTTGTATAATATAAATGTTAAAATAAATTAAAAATAATTTGTAATTTGTAGATATATAGAGGCTTGGACTGCAGTAATCACAATAGCACGCTTGCACGAAACATTTAACTTTGTTATTTTTTATTCGTTCAATCTCTTTCGATCTCCAGGTAAAAACATTTTTTTGTCGTCCTTGACCACTTTATGAATGCTCTCGTGATACTACCAGTACTTAAAAAAAAAAAAAAAAAAAATGAATAAATAAAATAAAGTTTTATGTATATTAATATCGTTAACCTTGCTAGTTATTTATAAACAATGAGTTGCCATTATTAACTTAAAAAATTTATTTGAATTATTCGCACGTTGATAAACTCTTTGAATAATTATTTCGATAGCACTCGTTATAATTATAAATTTATTAAAAATATTTATAAGTAAATAAGTAAGTATTTAACCTTTCAAATGGCACTTGGTTGTATTTGCATAATAAGTTTTTAAAGTAATAAAAATGATTTAGTGAATTTAAAATTAATAATAGCGGAAATAAATTAAATTTTATCGAAGCAAACAATAATAAAATTGGTATTCACCGTCACCAGTTGATGGAAAAATAAAATCAAGTTATCGATTGGAATGGAAATTTTCACTACTATTTTATCTTCTGTGCTTTGTAGAACTTTTACGAAAGAATAACAAATGGTAAAGACGTTGACGGTAAATAAGAAAAGCATACTTTTTATTTGGTAAAGTTTGGTTTGGTATATAAGCTGAAAGAAACGAAACCAATTTAAATCGAATGCAAAACTCAGACAATCGGGAGACTTAATCATGAATACTCGAAATTACTTAATCTAGAATCTGACAAATGCTTGCTATGCAGGTGCCCGCGGCCAAATGCCATTTGAAAACCTGGAATGCGATGTAACCTAACGATTGCTACCACCGGATTTCGTTTCCAAGGAATGTTATTATCGTGGTGTATGAACACAAGAAATTGTAATGCCTTAATCCAAGTTAAATGTGTAATTATCCATAAAAAAAATTTTCAAAAATGGCCTTGTACTTCCAAGGCTATCTAAAAGAATAAATGATTAATTTTTTAATTTCATATTTGTTTTAAAAAATTTTACGTTATATTATATGACAAATATAACAAAAACCTCCTTGGAAGAGCAAAAAAAAAATTTTCTTTTCTATTACTTAAGTTTTAAAACTTAACTCTCTTCTAAGGAGAAGATTCCGCGACCATGCGCCACCTGTCTGAAATTTTTAGTACTATTTTTTGTCGAAAATTTATAAATGAACTTATCGATTCATTTTGAGCCTAATATGGTCATGTAGAAAATTTTTACACGTATATATATATATAAAATAATTATAATTTCTTGTGATGAAAATTATAAATTTTTCGTTAGTGTTGATTTGTTTTTAAAAATTCCAACCAAATATTTGTTCTCTTTCTTTATCTCTTTCCCTTTGTGTTTCTCTGAGTGACTAATGGTAATGATAACAATAATGATGATTCAGTGTGATTAAATTTTGCTGTAATCCAAAACTGGAGCGCGAAAAATTCCAGTAGCATTGACAATCGTAAAATCGGTTAACAAAGAGCCTGACAATTTGGAGGCAACAAAAGCACACATTTGCCGTAATTTAAAAATGTGCATAAATAACCCGAGTAGTAATAGTAGTAGTAATACAATACCATTTCGGAGGCTCAATAAAATGAAAATCAAAATCAAAATCAAAGAGAAAGAGAAAGAGCGAATGAACCCAACCTCCAAATAAAGTTGTTGCTCGCCCCCTGAAAAATTTTATTACTGTTGTTATGTACGTTAGATTGGATTATTTTTTACGTTACTTTTTTTATATTTTATTCTCTCGGCAGTTGGATACACAATGCGCGATATTCGGTACAAATGGAACGCCGGCTATCAATCGGTCGGCATCTCAAGCGAGGTGGAACTCCCGCAGTTTCGCGTACTCGGGCACAGGCAGCGACAGCGAAACATACAACTATCTACAGGTTAGAAAATACACATTAAAAAAAAAAAAAAATACACATCTAGATCTCTCAATAGATGTTCAGCAAAATTTGTGATTTATACATACACAATTTTTTTTTCTTCGTTAAATCCTCTCACATTCAATGAGCAAAGATAAACAAGGCCAGAGAAAAATCAAACGAAAACTTGTGAAAAGTAAAATTCTTTTTTTCACAAATTGGAAACAAAAAGGAAGAATAAAAATAAATAAAAAGGTAGAAAGACCTCTTTGGTCTCTCTGGTCTGCCTTCACCGATGTGTACACACAAATTGAACAATGTTTTATTTTCTACACCATTGCACCACTAAGATCTTCTTCCTTTCTCTGTTCCTTCTACTCCTTTTATTCCTTTTTATACCCGGTGGTTTTTTTTATTTTCCTCTTCTTCCATCCATACATTCCTATTTATATTTTTTTCAACATTTATACTTGCAAAGCACACACGATCCCCCGCGGAGCTTCCAGATTCTTCCGGCCGTTAGTTCACGCGTGGTCGAACCTCATCCTCGAGGGATTTCCCCTCAATCTATTCCTTTTTTTTATTTTGAGGAAAAGTAACCAACCGAAAGTAAATAAACAACCAGAATTACAACAAACGAAGCTCCGTGGCACATACTCATGTCATGTACAGGCACACCAAACACACACGGCTTTAAACTGAGCGAAATTTAGCCGCTGATCTGAGAGAAGACATGGCAAAAAAAATCGGAAAATTTTTATGAAAATAATTGGCGTACAATGTGGATGTCGTGAGGTAAGTGGAGGCCCCCTCGGACTTGGCCTGGGTTCCGGTAGGTGTCTATCAACACCAGGGGGTTCTCTCTTTTATTTACAGTCGGATACACGATGCGGGATATCCGGTACAAATGGAACGAGGGGCCAAACAGTGTCGGTGTCAGCAGCGAGGTCTCTCTGCCCCAATTCAAGGTCCTTGGACATCGTCAGCGCGCCATGGAGATCAGTCTTACTACCGGTAATGTATGATAATGACAATCTATCATTCCACCTGATAAATGTGTGTACGTTTTTTTTACATCTTCTTTAGTCCTTTAATCTAATTTATATAATTAAAAACAAAAGGTATAATTTTTCTGTGATAAAATGGGTATTTTTAGGTAAATTTAGTATCATTGGAAAAGTTTGGACCTAAATTTGTACCTTTTAAGGGTTTTATACGCTTTTCTAAGATATTTAATCTATTTTGATAAGTTTTCGGAGTAATAAATAGATTTGAATTTCGCGCCAAATAAAATTCGTTAATTTATTTTGTTTTGACATGTGAATGTAATTATATGTAAAATTTTAATTCACATAATTAAAATAATGAGGAAAATTTTGTAACGATCATATTTTTGTTATATAATGAATTTCTTCAGCTAAATTTGGTACCATCAAAAAGACCGTAGTCTAAATTTGAGCCTTTTTACGGTTTGATATTTTTTTCGGTGACAGTCAATTTATCATCTAAATAATTAAGAGAATTAGAAAAATTCTGTTGGCATATTTTTATTTAATAAGTGATTTTTATAGTTAAATTAGGCATCATCAGAAAAGTCTTGCCCTCAATTTCTGCCTTTTAACCGTCTTGGATATTTTTTAGTTGGTCAATTTTTTATTATCAAATTTTGGAGGAGTTTTGATTAGTTTTTTGATTCTACAAATTTCTTTCTTCACAATTTCCAATAAATTTTTTATAAATGTAACAGTGATAGCAATATTATCCTCAAATTTTATTCCAAAAGTACCCAAACTATTACTGTCATTAAAAATATCAAAAAATCATCAACCTCAACTTATTTTTCCTATAATTCATAAATTTTTGGCAGGTCGCTAGTATGTAATTAATTATTTCAATTTTTATTTGAGTCCAAATCTAGTTTCCTAGACTCTATTCAACAGTACTGATAAAGATGACAAAGGAAACATGAATTTCCATAGAGTCACGATTACTTTTAAAGATAGATCTACCCCGCATTTAATACTGCTAATTTCCGTACCCACTGTAGTACAGAGAACGAACGATAGCAGCCGAAGTTGATAAAACCTATTTTTGGAATCCGCTCACCACTTTTAGCAAGAAAGGTTAATCAAACAAAAAAATCCTATCTTAAAAATAAAAAATCAAGTTTGAATTTTCGACATTTTCCAGACTAAAATATAATAATAATTATAATTATAATAAAAAAAAAAAATACCAGTCCTTGAGCAGTTTGCCTACGGGCTACTTCTCTGGAGTCGCATATACTTGATGTCTTTTCTTGTTCTTTCTCTTTGCCGGGAAATATCGACAAACGGAAATGATTGTTCAGCCGTGTGCGGAATGAGAAAGAGCACAGACGTAGACACAGAGAGTGAACAGTGAAAACTGAAAACTGAACACTGGTGGAACACGTGACATACAATCGACGTCGATGAAGACGATGAGCAATAGTCATACTTATGAAAAATAGACATAATAAAAGGGAATAGTGAACTAAAAAATACGCGGCGCGCTGATAAAGGATGAAAATAATAAAAGGAACGGAAAAAAATATAATAAAACGAATGTTAAGATTGTAGAAAAAAAAAAAAAAAATTATACACGTTTGAGAAATGAATGAAAAGTGGATACGATTGAAAGTGAAAAGAAATCCCGAGCTAGTGAAGAATAGAAAATGGAATTTCATGAAAAGACAGTTTGATTTCAAGAACTTGATTTATAAGAGCCAGCATATTGCCAGTTTTATTCTCTTTCTTCTTCTTTAGCTACTGCTGCTTCATCTTATTCGCTTTCCTGTTTCTTTCAGCCTCTCCATACTCTACCAAAGCCTTTTCATTCGTTACCTTTAATTCAACTTTAAATAGAGCAAACTAGCCTTGAATTTAAATTTAGTTTTCATCTCAATATTTATGACATGAATATTTTTAAAAAGTGTTTTAAATTAAATATTCAAAAAATAAAAGCCTAATAATAATGACAATGGTTAATAAAATAAATTACGTATAAATAGGAAACAAATAGCATCAATGATAAAATATATAGATCGTACTGTTGGAAAACAGCTCAAGCACACAAGTAATCCTTTCAACATTGTCAAGCTATTCATGAACGGATTTGTATTGACGGTGTGTTTGTATGCAGTGTGTGCGACTACATAGGAGGCGAAAGAAGAGCATAGTATGTTCCATAGATTACACGAGTGTTGAGCTCGTTTTAAAGCAATGTTCCGTACGGGTACTCGTGTATTAACGGTATTATATGTATGATACACTGTATATATGTAAATAGCGTACGATATGCGACTCGCATCTATTATAATATCCGATTTAATGGATCAAATCGAGGATACTGAGTTAATCAGACTGTAAGAGCTTTCACGCGGATAATTGCCCCGGGTTTATTCACCAAGCTATTTCTTTTTCCGAGTTCTCATTATCTTCTAATGAAACATTACGCGGTGAATAGTAATGCGTTATTATCGTTTAACTCAGCGACTTTCGTTTTATCTATTTTAGTGCATCGGGCTATTGTTTAGGTAGTTTATGTACTGGAAAAAATTAACTTGATTTTGGAAAAATTATTTTTATATTGAGAAAAATATAAATTATTGTTCAAATATTTTATTTCTTTTTATAGAATAATATTGAGTTTAGATGCCCATAAAAAATTTATTTTATTACAAAAAATTCCAATTAAAAAAAAAAATTTTTCTTAATGGTTAAATTTGATCATTTTAACCAATAAGAAAATTTTTTTAATATAATTTTTTTTCTAAATGCAACCAAAAAAATTATATTGAAAAATTTGATCAAATCTTAAATTAAAAAAAAAAAAAGATTTTAAATCAAAATTTTTTAATCAAATAATTTTTCCTTTTAATCAAATTAATATTTTTACCAAGCCTGCAAATCCTCTACCAAAATTTCATTTAAACAACGATTATTCCCCCTCAAATATTAGATTTTATGTGCATTAAGAACCGTTTAATCAAGTGGGCAAATATTGATATTTAATTACCTGAAACGGTAATTGCTCGAATAGGTAAGACTATATTGTCTGATCACACAATACCTTGACTACTTGAGCAACTAGACCAAATATCTCGGTGAAATTTTAAAAATTTTAAATATTAAATAGTAATACTTACAGTATAAATGATTATTATTTAAATGAAATTTAGTTAGATATTGATTTTAGTCTTTTAGAACTTTGCCCACGTGATTAAATATTCACGCCCGATAGATTCGTAATATGTTACGAGTAAATATTTGTTTGATAATACTGTGCAATATACAGTCAGTACTTGAGAGACCAAATATTGGTGCCCGACCAATACATACAATATCCACTCAAACTGTTCGATATGATTGTCTAACTAGGTTGTACTATTTCTACTTACCAAGCTCGGTTCAATCTTCTCTCCAATATATGCTGTCTGAACGTACATCGACTTTTCTACTCGACATCTGTGTTTGCCCTAGCTGCTCCCACTCTTCGTTCTCGGTTCAGTTATTAATTTATAACCTCAGCTTATATTTTGTCACTGAAAAAGCAAATAAATTTACTTAAAAAAAAAAAAAAATCAATCTTTAAATTCTTTCATTTCTTTAGAAATTCAAGCGTCACTTCTATTCCGTCGGTAGTGAATGGCTTCCATTGCTCTAGACAGAGATAATAATCTCTAGCGAACACTCGAGAAGCTTATTACCCCCACTAGAGTTAAAAACTATTTTTTATTATTATTTTTTTAATGCTTACAGACATTTTTAATCATAATTGCGAGTCTCCTCTCAATTCTAAAAATATATCCCGAGTGATAGAAGATGTAAAATAAAATTTATTAAATTATAGTTTTATAAAAAAGAGGCGGATAATAATTAAATCAACGAGTCATTGACTTTAAGAACTAACGGGAGCTATTAATTAAGACTTATTGGACTGGAGAGTGTCCAGCGGCAGTGATCCCTGTAAAGTCGGATCGTGTATTACCAGACAAGCTTGCAAAGGCTCTCGACACGGGACTAACAGAGCAGAGCCGGTGCTTTTGCCCTAATATAGACGACGAGGAGCTTTATACATCCGAGGATCCTACTTAGTTTGATGAAGGCTTAATTACGACTCGGATCACACTGACTGACCTACAGATGAGCAAAAGCATCTTCCCTCGAGCTGAATTATCCGGGTCTATTTCTCGGCGGATGGAGAACCCAAAACCTACAACCCCGGTCTCTTCATCACCGATTCCTCTTCTGAGACGAGCTCCCATTTACACGAGGTTACTGTCTCTCTATCCACAACTAATTCGAGAATCTGCTAAATATTTTTAGCACTAACGAGAGGCTCAAAGTTGTAGTAATGTCTACAGATGGTTTTTTAATGACAAAAATATTTTATTATCTAGGTGACCAAAATTTTTCTCTGGTGTATTTATATAATGAAATAGGTGTTTTTAGTTGAATTTAATAGCATTGGAAAAATTTTGACCTTAATTGTGCCTTTTGAGAGTTTTATATGCTTTTCTAAGATATTTAATATATTTTGATAAGTTTTCGGAGGAATAAATAGATTTGAATTTCGCGCCAAATAAAATTTGTTAATTTATTTTGTTTTGACGTGAATGTAATTATATGTAAAATTTTAATTCACATAATTAAAATAATGAGGAAAATTTTGTAACGATCATATTTTTGTTATATAATGGATTTCTTCAGCTAAATTTGGTACCATCAAAAAGGCCGTGGTCTAAATTTGAGCCTTTTTACGGTTTGATATTTTTTTCGGTGATAGTCAATTCATCTTCTTAATAATTAAAAGAATAAGGAAAATTCTGTTGGCATATTTTTATTTAAAAAGTGATTTTTATAGTTAAATCAAGCATCATCAGTAAAGCCTTGGCCTAAATTTCTGCCATTTCACAGTCTTGTATATTTTTTAGTTCAATTTTTTATCAAATTTTTGAAGGAGTTTTGATTAGTTTTTTTATTCTAAAAATTTTTTCCTTCATATTTTCCAATAAATTTTTTATAATTGTACCACACGGAAAAAAGTAGACTGTAATATTCACTCAGATTCCGGTTAATTTTTATAGTTTCAAACAGTAAAGCGGACATCGGGGTGGCAAAAATATAAATATTACAGAACTTAATGTAGAAAGTATAAAAGCCACAATTTATAATTTAATATCCAAAATAAGTGATTAGTAGCTGTCACTATAGTAAATAACGACTCTTTCATCTTAAAAAATTACAGTTTCAAACAGTAAAAATTGCCATTTCAATATATAGTCCATATTATGAGGAGAAGGGGAACACAGATGAAAGAGAAGGGGGTCTCACTCTGGGAGAATTTAACATTTCAAACAGTAAAAATTATACTTTTAAAATATATATTTTACCAGTCCAAGTAAGTCAAGAATTACAATTTGATTTTTAGCGTTGCGTTTAAAATTTACCATTTTACTTTGTAAATATTGACGTTGCTTGTATTAGAAATTTACTAACTTTAATTTATACTTTTTACATATCATAAGATCATTTTTTAGGTACAAAATGATAAATATCAGAGTCTGAATTCTTAATTATTATACTTTAACATTTTAGAAATTTACATAGCGAATATTACTGTTTGTAATAGTATTTTCTTCCATGTAAAGAGTAAATTGTAACGTTTAAATGGTAAATATTATAAAATGAATAGTAAAATCACGATTTTACTGTTTGAAATGATAATTTTTAGCAGTTGATCATTACTTATTATAAATCGACTGTTATTTATTACAGTTTACTTTTTTCCGTGCAGTGATAGCAATATTATCCTCAAATTTTATATCAAAAGTATCCAAACTATTTCTGTCATTAAAAATATCAAACTCAACTTATTTTTCTCTATAAATCTCAAATTTTCGGCAATTAAATGCTAACTACAGGTTGCTCTTTGTTATTATTATTATGTTCCGGACAATTAGACTATTAGCCTTAACGATTGAAAATGACAAGATCGCAGAATAGAAGCTAAGGGCTCCAATACAATTTACTTGCCGGTACCTTCATTCAGCGCAGCATTATTCTCTGGGGTCTATTTCCTCTGAGGAAACAGTGTATTCACCCTTGAAAATACACTCCGAACTACGGGTCATTTCTAATTGACAAATTTTCAAAATAATATCATAAAATACCGTCAATATTGCTATAAAATTTTAATAAAATAATTAAAATTAGTTTGATTAAATTGAAACATTTATCAAGACTATATATAAGAAAATGGTCTTCGGGATCAGATTTAAACGCGGTAATCTCACTTCGCCAACAACTTGCCAAGAATGATTCCCATACTCTTAATCCGTTAGCTAATCCTGGAAGATCTCGCGTGCCTGAGCCCCGTCAACCTTCATACACTTACATCGAACATACACATCCTCTAAGCTCTCACATCTCACCCTCGGCTTCTATTGTGTTGTGTTGCATTGTTCAGCACAACCAGTAAATTTACATTTTGTTAGCAGCCTGTAGGCATCAGCTACTAAAATTTCGTATGTTTACCCTCCGAAAATTACATTACGCAATTAAATTCCTGTATAATTATGAAATTTCCATCCAGAGTAAACATTTATTGGGTAAAATTTGAATAAAAATAATCTGGTTACATCAAACAGCGGAATTTGTTCGAGCTGTAGGTATTAACCCAGAGCAGAGTAATATTGAAGCTAGAAGCTCTGGTGATGCTAAGGCCCTGACCTTATCCGAGTATCAATATTTAATGAGTGTGGCACCGAAATAGACCTTAGTGTAGTCTCTATTCTCCATTTAATTTGTTCATCTCGTGAATTTAGCTCCCAGACTCGGGGAAAAAGCTCGCTTAGCATTAGATTCTCATGAGCTTGCGTCGGTTACAACCCAAATAAAAGCTCTTGGTTGTAGTTACAGCTGCATAGGCGACATGTTTCAGGTACAATAGTTGTTGTCACCCATGGGCATATCTTCTACCTTCTATCTTTTTCTTCTAGCCACCGGTATGGTATGCACGACATGCGAAATACGGTTTTTAAATTACACAACCCAGCATTTTTAAATTATAAACTCTGCATCTGGTTTATTCATTCTTGGTTTATTTATTTAGCAAACAAGAAGAAGAGAATATAATGAAATTTATAAATTAACGGAAGTACTGAGAGATGAGTTTTTTGGTTGAGCTAAAAAATTACAAACTGTAAAATGAACAAACAAACTTTGAATATGACGTTGACAAAAGGGAAAAATCTCATTCTGATTTAAACTCATTTCTTTCTTTTATTATTTTCTTCATGTTATTTTTTCTCGTCATACACCTACCTCTTTGTCTTCTATTCCCTTCTTTCTTATCTATCTCTTTGATAAAACTCGCCTCCAATCAGTCACGATCAAACGCCAGACTTTTCTCAAAAGGCTTTCTCTTAAATCACGAGGTTGCATCCGAATGAAACGAGATCACCCTTACAAACTGTGAATTTTTCAATCTAAGGCTATATATAGAGCTTAAATAAAAGAACCAGACATATAAGACACTCTTGGAGATATTATACTTTGTGTTTTTCTTTATCAACTGATTTAGGAGGAAAAAAAATAGACCGACCTGCAAAAAATCACCGCAATCAATGCGAGTCACCATTTTTACTAAATTTTTTTAATGATGATAATAAAAAGTGTCGAGACGATTCAGATTCAGATGTTTAACTTCGTTACTTTTATAGTGGGGGGATGTAACAAAAAAAGAAGAGAAAGGTTCTATAGAAAAATTGATGCTCGAAAATGGAGAGAAATTTTTTATCGTGAACTAAAAAAAGCAGAAGTAAATTATTCATTCGTAAAAGTGGAGTTTGAATTATTGGAAATAAAAACTGTAAAGATAAAGAGGAATAAAAAAGTAAAACCGAGTGGTGCTTTAAATCGGACACTTTATTTCCAATCCATAGCATTATTTTCCGAGATTCGAATCCGTCGTGTGGCTTTTACCAGCCGTCGCTTTGGTAAATTGCTCAAGAGCTTCCGCGGACAAAGTATGTAAAGGTGCGATGAAAAACAACAAAATGATAAATAAAAAATGGATTATTGCTCAGTCTTTTGCTAAGAGAGTTAATCTTAATGAGAAAAAGTAAAAGAGACATTACATCTCATTGTATATAATGTGATCCATATTATATATGTTATATCCATGTGTAGATAAAGTTTTTAGAAAAGACGACTACGACTGGTGACGGTTTAGGTGAAGCGAACAAAGAAATGGGGACGACGCCAACGAACTGTCGCCCTCTCTCGGTAACACTAGACACTTTGTTGAAAGTAGTTATCAAGAAAACACATTAAGCTATCTTGGCGAACAAAGAATTTTATTTTTTACTTTATTATTATTTTTATTTTTATTTTTGTTACTTTTACTTCGCTCGGTACTTCCGTTAAAAATATATTAAATCTTAAAAACAGTTAATGTCTAAATTATTACGTTCATCCTTTATCGCATTTTATAGTCCCCGGCTGAGTGGACAGAGGCCGGAAAAAAATAACCGTATACTGTTCTCTTCTGTTAGTCATGAATAATAAACTAGTGTAATTATAAATTGGACTTGAATATTCTCTTAATAATGTTTAATCTATGGATTTAATAATTCAAAAGAGAAAGAAGAGTAGAAGAGTAGAGAGGAGAAAGATAAAATTTATATAATAGAAAAAAATTAAAAGAATTTGAATTTTCAATAGAGAACAATCTCACGGGAGTTGAATTCCAATGGGTATAACTCCAACCCGTATAGAGTACAGTACTTTAATACAATTCGAAAAAAAAAAAAAAAAAAATGTTAAAAGAAGAAAAAGATAAAATAAGGGATGAGATATCACGAGATTGTGAATTATTAAATAAATCCGATTTCATTTTCTGATTCAACGTTATTCCCAAGTGAAATTGCTGAATACAAATATAGAAGACCGAGGAAAAGGTCAAAAGACGGAGACTCTGATTTACCGGTTATATGTGATAAATGCTCTTCCTTTTAGTATTAGTATATACTATATAGAGCAAGTGTGAGCGCAAGACAACAGTTGAGAGTTTATAGTTTTATTGTCCAGGTCAAGCCCCGAACTAACGACAGGGAGAAAATATAAGAAGGATATAATATAAGAAAGCTCGCTTATCTTCTATATCTTTATTTTTATCTTGATCTGTTTTTTATTTTAACTCCCTTTGGTTTCTTTCCCGGCAAAAACTACCAGCACAACTTTATTCTCTTTGACGTTTTTACACTCGTCTTTTCTTTAGATTTATATTTGCGCTTATATTACGTATACTTCGAGCTTGCAATTTCAATCTTGGGAGTAAGCAGCTATAGAAGAAGCGATCAAGATTGTTCACCGAGAGAAGAATTTAAATACTGACAGAAAAATATTATCCAACAACTCATTTTAAAGTCAGAAATTAAAACACTGTAAAAATTTACGGGGTGAATTTAATAAAAATAAAAAATAGTTATTAGTTTAAAAATTATAAAATACAAATTATATTAAGTTAATAATTTCCTTTTTTATTTTACGATTTTTGAACAAAACTTGAAAATTATTTTTATAAAAATTTAACTCAATGTTTCAAATTTTTTGAAAAAATATAATTAATATTTATAAACTTAGGGCCAGTTTTTCAATCCGGGATAAAATTTTATCGGAGATAAAAGTACTGCCAATATAATAAAAAAATAAATAATTCAGCACAGTGATTTTGCGTACGAGTAATTATCCTTGAATTCAGTCACTTATTTTGAATTAAAATAAATAAAAACATTAACCACATGTTACAGAAATATTAACCTCCAACTGTTACATTTTGCTGATTGTAAATAAATAAGATTAAAAATAAATAATATTATTATAATTTTTCTTCTTTCACAACAGAAGTATATTGTACCCGATGTATTATCATAGCTATTTATAATCATATCATCGAGAACATTTTATATTTTTCAATGTAATATTAAATTGGATGAGCTTCTTGCGTTTGACCTATCTATTAATAATTTATAATTGTGTTAATTAATTTAAAATACTTTAATTGACACAATAAGAGGTTATTATTATTTTTTTTAATTATATTAGTAGTACGTTTATCTCGGATGAAATTTTATCCCGGATTAAAAAACTGGCCCTTAAATTTAGAAATAAATTATTGAATAGTAAAAAAAAAATTATTTTTCCATATTCACTCCCGATTTTTTACAGTGTCTTAATAAAAAAAAATGTATAAATAACAATAAAAAATTTGATGTATAAATAATGGACCAGCGAGCACATGAATAAACGGAGGAGTAAAACGAAAAGGTCAATAAAAATTCGGAATAAAATGAAATGTATGTATGTGCATGATATATATTTAAATTTATTTAAAATAAAAAATTTGTTTACGACAATAACGACATAAATAGAGTTTTTACGATTCGATAAATTTATTCGGCAATAATTTCCAGTAGATCTGTTTGAGAGTCTAAAACTACTGGTAGGAATATAATTTGAATAATAATGAAAAAATGACAAATGTCAAATGATTTGTCCGTGAAAAATGGAGGTGCGCATCCGTTTTACCCGACAGTATAATAACTAAAAAGGGAACTTTGGTTTAATTACAGGAAATTATTCTCGGCTAGCCTGTGAGATCCAGTTCGTACGATCGATGGGCTACTACCTGATCCAGATCTACATACCCTCGGGATTAATCGTGATAATCTCATGGGTGAGCTTTTGGCTAAACCGAAACGCAACCCCCGCTCGGGTCGCCCTCGGAGTAACCACTGTGCTCACCATGACAACCCTCATGTCCTCGACTAACGCGGCCCTCCCCAAAATCTCCTACGTCAAGTCCATCGATGTCTACCTGGGAACTTGTTTCGTCATGGTCTTCGCCTCGCTCCTCGGTAAGTAAACATGCCAGTCCGCCTCCTTTTTCTCCCCCCACCCGACTTCTCAATCAAAACACCAAAAAAAAGTCAACACAATTTTTATTTAACGTATCATTTAATATCTTTTTAAATTCAATATTAAATTAAATTCAACTTCAAATTTGCTTTTTTATTTATCCGCTCACACAGATGAGTCGTGACACTATTTATTATATATTATTATTATTGGCTTAAGCAAATTTTAAAAAATTAAAAGCACTTTAAATTAAAAAATTTTAAAAACAAATTTTTATCTTCACCAGTCCTTGGTCAGTCTCAATGAGAGTCTAGTGAAGTCTACATATATATAGACAGACATTACAGCTATATATATGTTTTTAATTAAGCAACGCTTGTCTTTTAACGATCGATTGATCTTAAACACTGCATACTGTTGCACTTTGATGAATTATCATGTAAATATTAATATAAATATAAATATATATAAATTATAAATATGTATATATTTTTTTTATAGTAATATATATTTAGCACAATGCAATAGCAATTAAAACACGCGCAAAAATACTTCGCACTTAATTTACAATGTATTTTATTATTTATCATTGTTATTATTATTATTGTTGTTATTATTATTGTTATTCGACAGTGTGCTGCGATTTTGATTGATCGAACGTACTGACTTGCTAATTAATCACGATTTGCTCCCGCTTATTTTTGATAAATCTCTTTGATAAGAAACAATGAATGAAAGTAATTAATTTTTATTTGAGTTAATTAAATAAATAAATAAAAAAATAATGAGCGATCGTGACGTGAGCCGTAGATCAATTGATCGATCTTAAACAGTGTACACTGTTTCCCCGGGAAATATAATTATTTTTTTAATTAATTATTGTCATTAATATCACCGAATTTTTATTGTGTTAGAACAATGAGCAGTGTGCAATGATTTTGATAGATCGAGGGTTCCGCGTCCTCACGATGGACTCTACACTCGATTATTATACATTAGTCGGGTTATATATCGAGTCCTGTTCACTGATAAACGCTCTCGTCTCGACTGACGGATCCCTCTGAGACACCTTATTCTATCACGTATTCCCTTATGTTCAATTTCATCGTACGTGATTTTACTATCCAAGATAAAACGTTTTTTTTTTACCCTCTAAGGAACAAAGTAACAATTGGTATATTTTTTTACGGTTTCGTCTAAATTATTTTTTTTTTTTTTAACTAAATTATTTTTATTTATTTTAAAAATAAAATAAGATATTTAGCTGTACAAAGCTTCTTTAGGGTTAGACAAGATTAGTTATTTAGTTGGAATAATTTAAATAATTTTTTGCAGTGAAAAAAAAAAATCTCTTGGTTTTTTTTTATTTTTTTTTTTTGTCAGTTAATTTAAAAAAATAATAAATAAAGTGGATCTAAAATTTGAATTTAAAATTTGACAATATTTTACAGCGCTTAAAATCAACTGATCAAAAAAAAAAATAGCGCGAGGATTTCCATCTTTATAAATAAAAAATAAAACATACCGCTTATATTACCATATTCGATTCATGTCAATAAAATATTTTAGCAAAAGAAAAAAATGATAACGATCGAGAAAAAAGTAGATTTTTTTCAATTAAATCCTTGATAAAATTTCAATCTCACACAGAGAAAATAAACCGAATAGATGAAAAAAAATCCAATCGGGAAATTGGACCATAAAACATAAAAAAAAATATGCGTAAATATTTTAGTAAAAAACAAACTAAAATTGATGTATAAAGTAACACATAGATCAAACTAGATATATATTTATTTATACGTATAAATTCTCTTGCCTATCGTTGCATAGAGAACGAAAAATCCATCGGAATGACCCGGTCACTAGATGATAAAGACTGATACTAACACATATGTATATGTATATGTACCTATATGTCTATGTAGATTTAAAAGTGTGAAATGGCATCATCATCACAAGCTCGATTAATTTAACGGGAGAATGCTCGCTAGAAATAAACCAACTTTCCTTTACTTAACTTTGCATACCATGGCATACCATACCATACCTACAAGCAACCTCTTTCATATTCAAACAGTATACAATAATAATGACGATAATAATAATCAATACATAATCCTCAATAATTTTTCTTTGTTATCCATAATAATAACTTTCCGTCTCAGTTGATAAGCCTGTTATTAACAACAACACGCCAGCATTATATATATTTTGTGACGCAAGCATATACACGGAGAGAAAAATGTGGAAATCATTCCTATATTTTTAATTAAAAGTTTTCCTATACCATTTTAGGAACGATAACTTAAATTATGGGAATTTTTACTATAATTTTGGAAATGGTTCCTATAATTATAGGAACGATACCTATAATTATAACTGAAATATCGGCATGATTTCCATAATATATAGGAAGAGTTTCTATAATATTATAGCAGCCATTCCTATAATATTATAGCGATGATGCCTAATAATATTGAGATATTTATCATTACAACTCAAGTTATTTGTGACTTCGATGACCACTTTGAAGCATTTGAAATTATTAGTAATTTCGATCATTTTTCTTGTTTCCCAATAACATCATTTGAAATATATAAAATAAGTCATATTGTTCATATAAACACTAAAAGTTACATACCCAAAAGGTGGATTTAATAAATATTCAACGTATGTATTGTAAATAAATAATTTGTTTTAAAAATAAAATGCAATTGTAAAAATAAACAATAAATTTCCATATCTATTTTGCTCCTCTAATTGTATAGTGAGAAAATATCCCCTTTATTAGAGAAACTTTAGAATTGCTACAATATTTTTCAATATTATCTAACACAATAATAACTGAGTTAGAATAAACAATTTAAGATTAAGTACACACAGCAATAAAAATTATGAAAAAGAAATTTTTTCACTCTAGTAAAAGATCAATTTTTATTTACGAAAAAAAATTTATCAGCAAAAAAATATATAATAATTACTTTATATTTTTGAAGTGATTGCTTCATTATTATGAACATAAACATTTTTTTATTATTATGGGAAATTCCCATAATTTTTGTAAAGGTTCCTATAAATTTCTCTCCGTGTATGAAATGGTCATACACATCTCACATGACACCTTACTATTACACTATCAAATGTAACTGTATATTATTATAAATTAATCCCTTAAATTAATCAGCCCGCCTTGCTCCTCATTAAACATTCGAATGTCCCCGAATTCCCGTCCTATCACTGCTAATTATAATTCCTCACACTCTCGCTGCTACACATCTATCCGTAAGCCTAAAGTCATGCCGAACAAGGTATTATATTTCACCTTAGGGAAATTATTCCGCTTAATTAGAAATTTATTAACCACTTTTAAGCACGTACCGCTAATTAGTTATTCTATTACAATACTACTACTTTTTTTTTTTAATTATTCAATAAACGAGGTAGTTTAGCTCGAACAATATAGAATAGACTCAACAAAGTTAACCCTAAAGAGTTAATTAGGGGTAGAGAGAAAAAAAAGTGGGTAAAAGAAGAAATAGTGGTGATTGACGTGGGTCAGCTCTCAAACGGTTTGTAGAAGGTCCATCTTGTACAAGTGTATTTGCAGGTACAGGTACTTCTTTCTCTTTGCTGATGACGGTGATGGTGATGAAGAGGGGGTTGAGAGCTAAACTTCTGGATCAAGAAGTTCCCGTGGTGAAATTACATTGTGAATCGGCGAACCGTTATGAGCCATTGGGGGTATCTCACACTCAACTCAAGTGACACAAGAGACTACATAGCAACACACACACACACACACACACACACACACACACACACACACACACACACACACACACACACACACACACACACACACACACACACACACACCTTTGCTGTATTATACATTTACATTGAGGGGCACTACTAGTGTGAAATTGTTAATAATTCATTTGTTTTACATTTTCAGATAGTTTGAGTTTGTGAAATTAATATTAGATATCTGGCAAGGAAAGTCTTAAGAGAAGAAAAAATTCCAAAAATCGACTTTGGATGAAAAATAGCCGAAAAATGTTTAAAAAATTCCGAAATTTGGAAGTTTTTTTTAGTTTTTCCAAAATAACCCATATTTAATTGAAGTCAAAGAAAATTTCATTGATTCAAAATTATAGAGCATAACATTTTCAACAAATATTATACAGAACATTTTTTCATCCAACTATTAGAAGTTTACTTCAATTTTTAAACACGTTTTTCACAAAATGACATTTTCCAAATTAGTTGTAATTATTACTCGATAACAAATCATTCAATTAATTTGATTTTTTTTTTTTCAATATTTAATTCTTGATAAAATGATCTTCCAGTTTTAGTAGATTTCATAAAAATCTAACTATTGCATTGGTCCTCATAACGGAACTTTTCAAAAATTTTTCTATATTTCGACTCAGCTCGTCAAATGGATTCAGAAAATGCATTTGGTTCAAAAGTTTATATATGTCTGTATTTATATACATATATTTCTCTTCTTTAACTCCCGCAATTCTGTACGGATCTCAATAAAACGTAACATACTCATTCTTAGAAAGATTTCTGGGTTTGTTCTAGGATGAGCCAAATCTGTTGATTAGTTTAGAAATGAGAGTAATTCAAAAATTTTCAAAAGTCGCAAAAATTTTGACTTCTACCGTATTTTCATGTAATTACAATTAACTGAGATATCATATTAAATTTTTGTAAATTGGATCTGAAAGCTTATTTAATAAGCTATAATTTCCATACTTATTTATTTTTCCAAATTAAATAGTTTAGGAATGGCAGCAATTCAAAAATCTTTGAAAATCCCAAAAATTTTCACTTTTATCGTATTTCCGTGCAATAACAATTGAACGCGATATCCTATCGAATTTCTGTAAATTGCATCTGAAAGCTTATTAAATAAACTTCAATTTGCTTACCTTACCATCCGTCTAGGACAAAAATTACCTACTTTCTCAGACAGATTTAATGAAATCTTGCATTTGTTTTGACGTTATTTTATTGTAACAGAAATTGTATAATACTTTTAATATTATTTTATAAAAAATTTGTGTTTTTTAATCGAGAAATCTCCTTTCATTTCGACTGCCGAATGGTATTTTTTTTTTTAATTGCATAAAAATTGTAAATATATGTATAAACATGTCCTGAAAGTTCCAAAACAATCGCTAGAATACCTTTTTTTGAACGTCACACTAGTGGTGCCCTTAATTTAACAGCCTACACTATCCATTATATTCTGCATTACACGAACAAATAGGGAAAGGTAAAGATGAAACGCGACTCGGCATTGATGGGGCAAAGGTAAGATGGAATTAGTTAGTCGAGAAATGAAAAAGACAAACGAAATAACGAAATTAGGTATTTTCTTGATGGAGTTAAGGAGTAAAGGTTTAGCACTGACTACAACTGCTAACTACTAACTACTAGATGAGAGCAACAACCAGATGAGAGACAAAAGGGAGTTGGCTTCAAGATAAGCTCTAAAGCTCATTCTATTCCTTTCATGTACAAAAGTTAACTTCGTCGATGGATAAAGGAGCAAAGCTCTCCAGCACTTAACTTACAACTTAAATGTTACTAATGAGTTCGACATTACTTTGAGCAATTCACCTCTCACTGGATTTATAATTAAAATAATAATAATAATAAATATTAATAATAATAATAATTGCCATAATAATAATTAATGATAAATATAATTTTATAAATTTGCACTATAATGTTTTTTTTTTTATTTTTTTTTTTTGAGTTCTTTTAAGAGGGAGAAAAAGTGAGATTTGTTGAGAGAGTTAAATACGGTGTAAAATAGCTGTTATTGATTCACAGAGTACGCCACGGTCGGTTACATGGCTAAGAGGATCCAGATGCGCAAGAATAGGTTCCAAAAAATAGCTGAGAGTATGAAAGCTGCCAGGGAAAATCCAGGACCACCAGGTGTACCTGGTGATCATGGTGATCATGCGCCCAAACAAACTGTGAGTAAAACTTGGACGGTTTTTTTTTGGGAAATTCCCGTTTATTTTTTTTTACAGTCCTCGTAGTTTTTTTTTGTCTTATTTTATTTCCCCGATACTTTTTGTGAGTATCGAAGTTATAAATTAGTTACCGAAATCAACTTGGCACTTTAAAAGTTTTTTTTTTTTTGAAGGGTAATTATGAATTTAATTAATTAATAATGGTTTGAGCGCGTAATTTGATGCAAACTATAAAAAGTATTCAAAGATTGTAACTAGGTAAAGTTTGGTGGGAATAAAAAGTATTAATTGATAAAAGTGATGTTCAAGTTAGTCCGCGTTTTATTGAGCGAAATATAAGTAAAAAAAAAAAAATGTTAAAATAAAATAAATAAAGCTTAAAGAAGACAAGTACTTAGTGCCGGTAAGAGCCCCGTAATTTACGAGCGCAAAACAGAAACAGTAGTAGTACTACTTACGGACAGTCGGCAAGTCGCTTTGGCTACACTTCCCCTTGAGAAATTAGTTAATTAACTCTAAATAATTGAGTCTATCAATTAGAACCCTCGTTTGCTAACTTGCAGTGCGTTAAAACCGCAACTGTTTAACTCGTATTTTTTATTTCAACAGTAACAATAAAATCTATTTTATTTAAATTACTTTTATAGTGGAGAAAATATAAAATCACTCCCTAGATTACTTTCTTTGTAAGCACACTCGGTAAAAAGTAACTAAAAAAACTCGTTACTTTTAATTAAATTGAATGGATTTTTTGTAATTATAATTACTAATATTACTCGCATCGGCATCAAACGCTGGAGAGTAAATAATAGAAAAGAAAAAAAATAAATCCGAGAGCGCTCTGAAACTTTTAAGTACAGAGAGACATGGATAAATAAATAAACAAACATGCATATACAATGAACAATGACAAAATACACAAAACAAAATGTCTAGAGGAAACTGAAAAAAGTGCTTTAATTAGAGAACGAATTAATTATTCGAGTGGCGGACTACTCCTAGACTGAGATTAAATTTGTCGATAGAGAACAGAGCCAACGGCGACGGGAAAAAATTCACCCGTTTTTTATTTATTTTTTTTTTTATGACAAACATTCTCAATTCATTTTCAAGTACTCGAAATTATTAACAGACCTTTTTACTCACGGATATTAAATCCTAAAACGGTGATCCATTATTCATGAATTAATTAAATTCAAATTAATTAATAAACTTAAGCAACACAAATCTTATTATCAAATAGAAATAAATTTAGCGAAAGCACTCACCAAACACTTTTTGCTTCTTTATGCACCAAATTACCGGCTGCTCACACGCACAAGCACTGTAATAAAAAATTAAAATAATTATTGTATTAAATACACTGAAATTTATTAAAATTTAATAAAAAAAAAGTGTCAAGTTGATTTGAGTAAAATAACAAAATAAAGTAAGGGGTTGATCTATTAACGGACTCCCCGTGGCGAACTGCCGTGTCTCTTGTAAGTGGTCCCGTGTTGTCCAGGAGGTGCGGTTCAAGGTCCACGACCCAAAGGCACACAGTAAAGGTGGAACATTAGAGAACACCATAAACGGCAGGGCTGACGAAGAAGCTCCTCCGGCGCCTCCTCATCTTATTCATCCGACCAAAGACATCAGCAAGCTCTACGGTACGCCATGTAGGTCTCTCTTCGTTTTTTATTAACATTAAACAAAAATTCAATAATTTAAAAAAAAAATTTTTTTTAATTTTAAAGCAGACCTTAAAATTTTTTTTTATTAATTTAAGTCAATTTTTTATCAGTATAAGTAATTTTTATCAGTATTTTTGGTAAATATTTACAAGTGAGGTCAAACATTTTAATTTTCTTTTTTTTTGAACGAAATTTCTATTTGATTTCATTGGTATATATTTTTTTTTTTAAATTAATTTAATAAAGAAATTGATTTAATAAAAAAAAATTAATTTAATAAAAAAAATTAATTTAAAAATATCTTAAATAAAATAAAAAAATTTTTTTTACACAAGAAAAAAAAAATTTTCAAAAAAATTTATAAATTTTTTAGAAAATTGTGATATTCAACTTTTTTTATTTTAAATTGTTCATTTTTTTATGTACTTTTCAAAAAAAAATACATATAAAATATCAAAAAAATAGAAATTTTATCTAAAAACATGAGCCAAAATTTTTTCAAAAAAAAAAAATATTAATTTTTCACCTAGATATGGCCAAAAATAAGGTGTACCCAACTTGTAAATGATTACCAAATTTTTTGTTTAATAAATTTTTGTCACTAATTTATTAACTAAATAAATTGTAAAAAATAATCAAATGTCTAATGATTCCAGTATGAAAAACAAATACTAATAATTGAAAATACTGTTGAATAAAATGCAATGTAAACAGCTTATTACAAGAAACGTCGCACAATTCATATAAGAACCAGTAATTACACCCGCATAGCAAAGAAACGTGTGATTTTTACAGGTATCACGCCCTCGGATATCGACAAATACTCGCGGATCGTCTTTCCCGTGTGTTTTGTCTGCTTTAATCTGATGTACTGGATAATATACCTGCACATCAGCGACGTTGTCGCGGACGACTTGGTGCTACTGGAGGAGGCCAAATAAGCTAAAAAACGTTCATCTAAATGTTACATCGTTAAATCTCAGCGTGGATACACTAGAACTCGATCGAGAGCTGAAGCATCGACACCACGGGATTTAATCGTTAAAATATATTTAAAAAATAAAATACTAAAACCGTGCTGTGACTAATTACCGACTTTCAGGCACTGTGCGACACTCACTCGTCGCGTCGTCCAATCATCAAAAAAAAAAAAAAAAAAAAAAAAAAAATATTAACTATTAATAAGCATTTTAAAGGATCCTTTTCACACAGGAGATGATTAATAATTATTTTATTTATTTGAAAAAAAAAAAAAAGAAAAAATTAAAAAAAATACGTGATGAATTAATTTAAAAAAAATGAATAAAAACACATGACCATTGCCGGTTACTCTGGCCGGCGTATCAAGTGGTCTATGCTCAATGACTTTTTTTTCCTCGGGGAAAAAACGCAAACACGATCGCCGAAGTGACTTCATAGCCTACTAAATGGAGGATTTAAAAAAAAAATAAATTAATAATTGAATTAACCTCGTAGGTTGTTTATTATTATTAAAACTATTAAAAATATGCTCATAAAAGAAGTATTAGACAAAATTAAACTATCTGTGAAATAAAAAAAAAAAAACGTAAATATTAAATAATGTGCAGAAGTCAAAATTTCTGCGATCGTTAAGCGCAATGAAGACTGAAGCATGTCGAGCCGTAATAATAAAGCATGGACGGAAATATATGAAACTGTTATATGAAAAATGTCAAGCAAAAATAAATAATAATAATAATACTAATAATAATAAATAATAATAATGATAATGATATAATGTATATGTTGAATAACGTGAAAAAATAATTGAAAATGCGAGGCGAGTGCGAAGACTTTGTTGTTACATTGCAAATGGTGTGTACAGTGCCGCGAAAGCCTTCAGAGACGAATATAAATAAAAATATAAATATAAATACAAATATATATATAGATGTATTATATTAATATTAATATTAATATTACTGAGTATAAATATATAAATAAATAAATGTTACATATAGCTCGATTTAAGCTCGCTGTCGAGGGTAATCGCTAAATTAATTTTATAATTTTTTCTAAAATCGGTTTCGATGACGGTCAAGGTGATATAGTCTCTAGAATTTAAAAAAAAAAAATCTAAAAAGTAAATTATGGTTTTAAACTCGTTTGTAAATCAACCATTACCTCTAAAATTTTCTAACTAATTCTAAATGTAATCACGGATATTACCCTTTACAGTGCGCTAATTTCGATACAGTATATAATTAAATAAAAATATATAATATACGATATACCTTTAAAAGCATTGCCAGTATATCTCTATAGTAACGTCGTGAAAGCAGTTATTAATAAATAACAAAACCAAAATAAATAATTAATAAATTTTTTCGGTATAAATACGTCAATTTAGCCACTGTAGTTTATTATTAAAATATAAGCATTCGATTATAGGCATAATCGTGGCTCAAAACTTGCTACTAAAATTTGTTTTTTAACCAATTATTATAAATATAAATAAATTGATTAATTAATTAATAAATAAATAGATAAACGATTTGATACGAGTGATTAAATATAATATGAATGGACACGCCAACGTTTATTCAGTGGAACTGCTATTAATTAATTAAAATAAAATAAATATTATTTAAGTGACAAGTGTTTTAATTTTTTTTACGTTTTTACTATTATGTTTGAAAAAAAACCAAATATTCAATAATAATAATAATTGAAGGTTGATTGAACAATATGATTGTTATCGCGTAATATATGTAATTGTAATTAGTAATTAATTAGTGGAGCGGTTGTAATAATTGTTGATTATTACACATGTCTGTGTATGACTCGAGACTGACGAGAATGTTAATTGATGATTATTATTATTAGTTAATTATAAATAGCATATTTATTGATTATTAATTATTGATAACAAATTTATAAATTATTATTATTATCATCAAATCGTTAATTTCATTTAATCAAGTAGGTTAATATATTTATAAAATTAAAATTATCGATAAATCGGTTTGTAGATATAAATATATATAAAAATATAAATATATTAAATTTAAAAAAAAATACCTGGAATGTGAGCGTAAGATAATCGGCCCGGGAAATATTTAATTAATTATTTCTATTGATTAAAATGATACTAAAGTTAGCCGAAATTTTTAATTTTTTGATTTTTTTTTTTTTAATAATTAAATTAGAACAAAAAAATTTTTTTTTTTAATTGCACCTACAGTTTTTGAAATTTTTTTACAAGTGAAATTATTTTTTTTTATTTTTTTGTAATCATTTTTTCTTAAAAAAAAAAAATTCTAAAAATTTTTAAATGTCGGCTAAATTAATTTTCATTTGATTAAATTATTTTACGTGGAAAAAAAAAATCTGTCACGAAGCAACGAAACTCGACGATATTTCCTACTATTTATATTCCTAAATATGTATAATATAATGAAAAATATATTTAATTAACGCCTTCCACCGGTAATCGATGCTTCGTGCAAAATATTTCCCGAGGCTAGGGATATGAAGGCTCCTCGGATTTTTTATTTTTAATATTTTTTTTTTTTGTTTGCTATTTCAACTATCTCGTTTTTAAAGCCAGAAAATATAATAATTAAACATATTGAATTTAATTAAACAACGGTACAATGATAACAGCAATTGTATTTATTTTTGTTTGTCGACTTTGTCATATCAGCGGACGTTTCCTCTCGCAGTCACTCTCAGTCTTAATCTTTATCTCAAGCTCGGTAATTTTAGTATCTTTTGCACTCCCATCAGCGCGTTACTTTTTTTTTCTTTTTTTATTATTATTATTTAGAGTTAGTGCGAGGACGCTGGGATGTGGAAACTTGCCATTCAGGATATCGACCAGACACACCCTGGGTTCTTTGTCTATCTCGCTCCCGAGTACTCACTCACTCATTTTATGATCTCTATTTTCTCTTTCATATAACTCTCATACTATTCGCAAATACTGAGAGAAAGAGTTACAGTACAAGAATAAGATAAAAAAAAATGTAAAAAAAGCTGAGAGTGATTAGAGTAAACAAAAAATAAAATTGTGATTTCGTGCTTTTTCTTTGCCGATAAATTATTAATTAAATTCACTGGTTTTAATTATTTTATTAAAATTCCCTGCCTCGATTTTAGAATTAAAGGATCTCAAATTAATGATAATATTTATAAATAAATAATATTTAAAATAATAATAATAAACAATAGCAGCACGTGAAATATTTATCAACGAACAATATAAATATATAAATATATCCAATCCTCTCAACTTCCTCAAGCTTTTTTTTAATACTAAAAAAATTACCAAACAAAATCACGAATAATATTAATGAAATATAATAACTTTTTCTATTTACAAATCAATAGTTAAAATATTTAATAGTGATCGAATAATAAAATCGCATATAATAAATATATATAATAAATCTATTATTATTTAACTTTAACTGTTCATTTTTTGTTACTTTATTTAAATAATTAAATATTGACGATATAGACGTCCGTTTATAAAATATAAATAACTCGATATAACTGTAAAATAATTTATAAAATCAATAAAAAGCTCCATAAATAAAAAAAAAAATAATTTATTAAAATTCTTTAATAAATTATTTTTTATATTTGTATTATTTGTATAGTCAATCAGTAATATTCAGTATTGTTATAATTGTTATGAATCGTTGAAAAAAATTAACAGACGACGAATTATAATTATTATTATTTTTATAAATTAAAAATAAATTTTTTTAATAATAATTATTAATTTTTTTTTTTTAATACTTAATAATTAATAAAATTCATGGTCTGTTTTTTTTTTTAGAAACAAAAACGATTCGATAGTTATATATACGTTATCTATTCGGAGTCTCTATGATAGTAAAAAAATATGAGAATGATTAAAGATGTAATTTTAGTCGTTTATCGTTGTGATATATATTCTATAAATAGAATGCTTATGTTTTATGTTAAATAATAATTTTTAGTAAAATCGTGTGACGCGATAATAAAAAATATTAAATTTTCTTTTTAAAAATTACTCACCTCAGTTTAATTTTACAATGAAAGTAATTGATAAAAAAAAATATAATTTATAATTATCGCGTCGTACGAATCCGAGTGAGTCTTTGTCCTCAGGTAGGATTTGCGTTTCTGGGCACTTAATGCGTATATTAGATACTTAATTAATTAATTAAGACGTTAATAAGATAGGAATACGGAGGAATCCTTACTTACTTAAATAATAATAATTAATATAATAATAATGAAAATAAAAGTCAGCCCAGCTCGATTAAACACTCACCTTACTAATAAAAAAAAAAAGTAACCATTACTAAATTTAAAAAATATTTAAAAATACAGTCACATCTTGTACATACAAGTTTTATACAGAGTATTATTATGCATTAAAAGTACTGTGAAATTAATATAATATATATAAATAATTAAATATTATACAATATGCAAATATGTAGTGCACATACGTGATTGTTCGCACATATTTAGATAAAACAACTTTAAATAGGAATGGTAATTAATATTAAAATAAATAAATTGATTAATTGATAAAAATTTAAATAAAATAAAATTTAATATAAACATATATACATATAATATATATGTACATGTATAAATAAAAAATAAAATGTCTAGAGAAAATGTTAGAAAGTGGGCTTTAGTAAAGCCGAGTAAACTGGAAGAGTGAATAATAATAATAAAAAATTAATAATAATTAAAAAAAATTATTAAATTACCCGGATTGTGAATGTGTTTATGCAGAGCTAAAATTAATTTTGGGGAATGTACAGCAATGTCTTTATCTGTTGATTACTGGAATTATTTTTAGTGAAAAATTTTTTATCGTTTTAAAGCAATTGATTGCCGGAAAAAATATTAAACATTTAAAAAAAAATAAATAAAATAAAATAGAAAAAAATATTGTAAGAGAAAGGATCCGATAAAGTGTATGATGTACCAGTTCAAATGACGTTAACGAAAACTGCCAACTTCATATTATTACACTTTTTAGTCAATCAGATGGACGGAAAAAAAAAACTAATAAAATAAAAAAAATATTAATGGAAATGATAATGATACAAATGTGTGGTTGTAACAGACCCAAAATTTTTCTTAGGATAAACACATTTGCCGTTTGCACATAGAGTACTTGAATGATTTAATAAAACAATTAAATAATGAATAATTAATTAATTAATAAATTGATTGAGAGAATGAATGCGTGCAGTTTCATACTAAACAATTTATCATTAGACTAATAATTAAATTCGTTCATTGTTTTATATATTGTTGTTTATAGAATGTATTTATATTTATGTATATTGAGTTTATTTTGTGTTAATTAATTATTAATTGATTATGAATTATAATTGTGTTTACTGATTACGTTGATATAATATATGTCCACGTATTTTGTTTTAATTCACGCGAAGAGAAAGTGAAATTATTGTAAAGTATAATAGTTAATTATAAAATATTTAATTAATAAAATTAATAAAAAATATTAATTAATAAATATTTATCAAGCGAAAGGATTTTATTTTAATTAATTAAATAAATTAAATGGCAAATATATCGAGTGGTATATCTTTGGTTTTAAATATTTATATACGGTATATATTTGTCATTTTATTTATGCGACCTTTAAAATTATTTATTTAACTCGGTTATTTTGTCATTTGAAGAATTATATAATTAAATTATTTATTTTCGTTGATAATTGATAAGTAGTAGACCATAAAAAAGGACTTGAATAATTAAAATATACATTACAAATTATAAATATAAATAATTGCGCGGGAATAAATATTTAAAGTCGAATTTTTCCACGTAAATATAAATAAAAGTTTCTTTCGTCATTAAGACTCACTATTCTTGGTAAACCTTGCACCCTTTTAATTAACAAATTTATATAATTAATTACTTAAATTAAAAAAAAAAAAATATCGTAGTAGACTGATTAAAAAAAATAAATAAATAAAAAGTTAAATTGACACTACTGCGGTTATGATTTATAAAATGTGAGGAGAATTAATAAAAACCGGGACGAGAGAGAAAGAGCGAGAGAGAGAAAGGCTTAAAACGATTATAAGACATATGAGTCGTTTTGAGAGTACCAAATTCTAAAAAAATGTATTTAATATTAATTGCATATTGTAGAATAAATAATGTAATGGTAAACAGAAATTAATAAACTACCTTTGAAATAAAAATGATGAAAGAAAATATAATGATTGGTTAATTAATTTAAACTAGCAACCTTGCAGTGACTATGTGACTGTCGTGACTTGTGAATTATAAATAAATAAAATTTTGATTTATTAAATAGTCACTTTTGTTAAATTGCACTGTACTTTCTTAATTATTGACATTTTTATAGATATAAGCTCATACCGATATTACCATCATCAAGAGCTTTCATTTGAGTACCCACATCAATTTTTCATATATTTATATATATATTATATATATGTATATATGAAAAATATATCAAAAATGCATGTGAGTACTCAAATGAAAGGTCTTGATGAATGTAACATCGATATGAGCACATGCATTTTGATATATTTTTCATATATACATATATATAATATATATATAAATATATGAAAAATTGATGTGGGTACTCAAATGAAAGGTCTTGATAAGTGTAACATCGGGATGAGCTTATATCTTAAAAAATGTTAATAGTTCTCAAGATACAAGGTCATTTTTTTATTATGTATCTAGAGATAGAGCATTTTCGAAATTTCACTAAAAACACTGATGACTATCCTGGACACAAAATTTTTCTTATTCTCTTAATAATATAGATTCATTCTTTTCCTCAAGTTTAAAAATAAATTGATTTAATAATTATAAAATAATTATTGAAAATAACTGTCACATAATATTACAATTGTAATTAAAATATATTATCAACCTTTGATAAATAATTCAGTTGACGTATATTTTTTTAATTATTAATTAATTAATTTTGTAGAATATCATTTTCTAATTAAAAATAAAAATTTTAAATTACTTACTCGAATCAACTGCTTGAATTTCTCACTTTCCTTAGTCGACATCTTGTCATTGTCATCTACCTATAACATTAAACAATCCTCAATTAATTTATTTTATCCCTCACTGACAATTTAAAACTTAAATTATAATAAATATTAACTTGACTCAACACTCATTTGATAGTTGCGACAGTTATTCATCATCAAACTTTTCAACGTCTTCAGTTCAACGTACTTTTAGCGGGAGATCTCCTGACGACTGCGCAGTTTGGCTTCTACGCAGTTACTACAGCCAGCATCTAGCTTGCCGGTTTGGCGCCTTTTCTTGCCGCAAGATGGCGCCACTAGTCACCCATTCTTGCTGAGTCACAAAAAGTTCCTTGTACAATTTTCTTTAAATAAAAAAAAAAGCTATCATAATTAAAAAATTCTATTACTAATTATCAATTTAATTTTTAAATGTAATAATTATTTATAATAAATGCAATAATACATTTTTATATTCTAATATATTATATTTTTTATATTTTTACTAAATGTAATATTTATTTTTATTATATTTTTGCAATATAATTTTTTTAGCCAGGAATTTTTTTCAGCAGCCATTTACAAAAATTGACAGTTTTTTAATTTATAAATGCATACGCGCTTTTTTTCTTTTTTAATAATTAAAAACTTACATATTTTATTGATAATAACCCGCTAAAAAATTTATTAAACAATTATTTACCATTAATCATATCAATATATTTTCAAATTGCATTGCGCTTTCGCTTTAGCACCCATGACGTAAAAGCGTCTTTCCTTTGGCGGGACCTCGGAGCGACTGCGCAGTTTGCCTTCTACGCAGTCACTCCAGCCAGTATCTAGTTTGCCGGTTTAATTATTTTTCCCGCCGCTAGATGGCGCCACCAGTTCTACTTTCTTTCTGAAGCAACAATAATAACAAATGTCATTATACATTATTGATTTTATTTAATATTCAATTGCATTATTGAATAAATGTATGAAAAAATTAAATCATTCTATTAAAGCATAACTTTACTTTTGCAATGTATGATTTTTTTTAGCAAAGATCCGCTTTTAGCGATCATTCGAGAACATGGAGGCGATTTCGGTCAATATATATATGTATGTTGATATTTATAACATTTTGATAGAATGTACTAGAGATTTTTATTGTTATTTATTGTAAAAATAATTAAATAAATGATTTTTTTTAGAATACCCAAAAAATAAGATTTTTAAATCTAAAAATTATATCTTTATTTCCTGACATTTTAGTTTTAATTTATAAATTTTTGTTTTATTTCAGTGCTTCGACATTCTAGTAAGTTCTTTAATCAATACTTAAAATAATTTTTATAAAATAAATATTTTTATAAGTTTAATTATTTTAAATAATACAAAAATTAGCCGTCAGCTGTCAATTTGAAAAAAATTTCTCTAATTAATTAATTGCAATAAAAAAATGCTTATAAAAATTTTCACTTGTAATTTTTTTAATAATTTAATTGCTATAAAATTCTAATTTTAATTGGTCAATTTCAATGTCATTTATTTTTATTATTACTATTGATTTAAATTAGAAATATTAAAAAATTGTATTATTTTTATAAAAAAATTTATGAATTAATAAATTATATAAGTGTCAAAAAAAAATTTTTTTTTTTAATATTTAAAAATTAATATTAAATTAATAAAATAATTTAATAAATAATAATCAATACCATTATAAAAATTTTGTCATTTGTTTGTCGTAACACCGGCAAATTCTGGATGTTTCTCGAATTTTCTCAGCTGAAACTCGTGCTTCCGGTTTTAGAAATAAATACTAAAGTCAGTTGTATTTTTTATTCTGCCTAACTTCAAGTTATAAAAAATAAATAATTAATTTTTTTCAATAGCTGAAAAAAATACTAAAAATCTTATTATTAATTAAAAAAATTATTCACGTATAAATTTTATTATTTTTAGTAAAAAAAATTATTGAAAAGATGGTAATTCGATAGAAACTTCTCGAACCAGTGACCGAGTTCCTGTGAAACGTCTAGAATATTCGGTAAGTCTATATAAACGGCCGCACGTTGCGCACTGAGCACATTTCAAAAGAAACACAAAGCAATACTGTTCTAAGCGAGCGCGAGAGTTTTTCTCTCAACTTAATAACTTAAAGTTACTTTAATTAATTAATTAAAATTTATCAAGTGATTCAAGTATTTTTCTTATTGAGTGTTTTAATTAAATTTATCCAAAACGACGGTCCTACAAGAGCTGAACGATCTTAAAATATCTGAAGAGGTTAAAACAAAAGACAAGATGCCTGAAAAGGACACGACTATGGCGGTTGACGCTGGTGAACCCGAGACTTTTGCCTTCCAAGCTGAAATTGCTCAGTTGATGAGCTTGATCATCAACACTTTCTACTCCAACAAAGAAATTTTCCTTCGTGAATTGATCTCTAACTCATCTGATGTAAGTTTTATATTTTTTTAATTATTTAATTAAATATCGGCTATTTTTTTTTTCGTGTGACTGATTTTTTAATTATTGTGTGTGTTTTACAGGCTCTTGACAAAATTCGCTATGAATCTCTCACTGATCCATCGAAACTCGACAGCTGCAAGGAATTATTCATCAAGATCATTCCCAACAAAAATGACCGCACTCTCACCATCATTGATAGGTAATTTTCTTTTATTTTTTATTAATCGTGTATGAAAATTAAGTTAGCCGACATTTTAAAATTAAAATTGTAAAAAAATTTTAAAAACACAGTGCAATTTTGAAACATATTTATTAGTTATAATTTAATTTATGAAAAAAATTCTAATTTTAATCAATGAATCTTTATTCTAATTTAATAAATGAGAAAAAAAAAAAAAAATCAAAAATGTCGGCTAACTTTAGTAGTATTATTAATCATGTTACGTAAAAAAAATTCTCAATTTTTTTTTTATTATTTAAGATTTTTGCATTAATTTAAAATATTTTATTCAATATTTTTCGAATTTTCTTTTTTTATTAATTTTCACAAAATTTTATTTCTATGTAATAATTTATTCAAAGATTTGTAAATATTGTATATATCTTTGTAATTTTACTTTTAGTGAATATTATTTAATCGAGAATTTTTTTAATTTTCTAAATTTTATTTCACTAAAATAATTTTTGCAATTTATTAAACTCAGTTTTTTTTTACGTATTAAAATTATTTTACACTAAATTCTAATAATTTAAATTTAATTAATTAATTATCTAAAATTTTTTTTCTAAATAAATCATTTTCTTACACGAGGTATTGAATTTTTTTTATTTTCTTTAAAATAAAAAAAAGATTTCAATTAATATAAAGTTTATTTAAATAAAATTTATCTTGCAATTTATTAAACTCAAGCAATTAAACCCAATTTTTTTTTTTACGTATTAAAGTTATTTTACAATAAATTCTAACAACTTGAATTTCAAAGTTTCATTATTTAATTATCTAAAATTTTATTTTAAATGAATTATTTTTTTTACGCAAGACATCGAAAATTTTTTTTATTAAAAAATTATTTCTAATCAATGTAAGACGTATTTAAACAAAATTCTTAATAAAATTTATTTTGAAATTTATTAAACTCAAACAATTAAACTAAATATTTTTTTTTACATATAATAATTATTTTACAAAAAAATCTAATAATTTAAATTACAAAATTTCATTATTTAATTATCTAAAATTTTATTTTAAATAAATCATTTTCATACGCGAGGTATTAAATTTTTTTTTCTTTAAAATCCTAATAAAAAAATTATTTGTAATTAGTAAAAAGGTTATTTAAACAAAATTCTTAATAAAATTTATTTTGCAATTTATTAAACTCAAACAATTAAACTCAATTTTTTTTTTTTTTTACATAAAATTATTTTACAATGAATTCTAATGATTGAAATTGCATTATTTAATGATCTAAAATTTTATTTTAAATAAATAATTTTCTTACGCAAGACATTGAGAATTTTTTTTATTAAAAAATTAATTTCTAATTAATATAAAATTTATATAACCAAAATTCCTAACAAAATTTATAATAATTACAGTGGTATCGGTATGACCAAAGCCGACCTAGTCAACAATTTGGGAACGATTGCCAAATCCGGAACAAAAGCCTTCATGGAAGCCTTGCAAGCTGGCGCAGACATCTCAATGATTGGTCAATTCGGTGTTGGTTTCTACTCAGCTTACCTGGTCGCCGACAAAGTATCCGTAGTGTCAAAGCACAACGACGACGAGCAGTACTTATGGGAGTCAGCCGCAGGTGGTTCATTCACCATCCGCCCGGACCACGGTGAGCCATTGGGTCGCGGTACCAAGATAGTTCTCCACATCAAAGAAGACCAAGCCGAGTACTTAGAAGAGTCCAAGATCAAGGAAGTAGTAAAGAAGCACTCCCAATTCATTGGCTACCCGATCAAACTTTTAGTCGAGAAAGAGCGTGAGAAAGAAATCAGCGACGATGAGGCGGAGGAGGAAGAAGTAAAGGCAGTAAAAGACGCTGACGAAAATGAAGACGACAAGCCCAAGATTGAAGACGTCGGCGAGGACGAGGAAGAAGACAAAGACGCGAAAGATAAAAAGAAGAAAAAGAAAACTATTAAAGAAAAATACACTGAAGACGAAGAGCTGAACAAGACCAAGCCACTGTGGACCCGCAACCCAGATGACATCACCCAGGAAGAGTACGGCGAGTTCTACAAGAGCTTGACCAACGACTGGGAAGACCACTTAGCTGTTAAACACTTTTCAGTAGAAGGTCAGCTTGAGTTCCGTGCTCTTCTGTTCGCTCCACGACGCGCTCCGTTTGATTTGTTTGAAAACAAGAAGCGCAAGAATAATATAAAGCTTTACGTAAGACGAGTCTTTATTATGGACAACTGCGAGGAGATTATTCCTGATTACTTGAACTTCATGCGCGGTATTGTCGACAGCGAGGATCTTCCTCTGAACATCTCCCGTGAAATGCTTCAGCAAAACAAGATCTTGAAAGTCATCCGCAAGAACTTGGTGAAGAAATGTATAGAGTTGTTTGAAGAACTTGCCGAAGATGCGGAGAATTACAAGAAATTCTACGAGCAGTTCTCAAAGAATTTGAAGCTGGGTATTCATGAAGACTCCACCAACCGCAAGAAGCTTTCAGAGCTCCTGAGGTTCCACACTTCATCAACGGGCGAAGAAATGTGCGCCTTGAAGGACTATGTTGGTAGAATGAAGGAAGTCCAGAAGCATATTTATTACATCACCGGAGAAAGCCGGGAGCAAGTAGCTCACAGTTCCTTTGTTGAGCGAGTTCTTAAGGCTGGATTTGAAGTTCTTTACATGACTGAGCCCATTGATGAGTACGTAGTCCAGCAGCTGAAGGAGTTTGATGGAAAACAGCTGGTCTCAGTTACCAAAGAAGGTCTGGAGCTTCCGTTGTCGGATGAAGAGAAGAAGAAGATGGAGGAAGACAAGACCAAGTTTGAGAATCTCTGCAAGACTGTTAAGGACATTCTTGATAAGAAGGTTGAGAAGGTTGTTGTCTCGAACAGATTGGTGGACTCTCCTTGCTGTATTGTTACTTCGCAGTACGGTTGGACTGCTAACATGGAGAGGATCATGAAGGCCCAGGCCTTGAGAGACTCCTCGACGATGGGCTACATGGCTGCGAAGAAGCACCTTGAAATTAATCCAGACCATCCTATTATGGAGAACTTGAGGCAGAAGATTGAAGCTGACAAACATGATAAGTCCGTCAAGGACTTGGTCATGCTTCTCTTTGAGACTGCGTTGATGTCATCTGGGTTTGCATTAGAAGACCCACAAGTTCATGCAGCGAGGATTTACAGGATGATCAAGCTTGGTCTGGGATTGGATGATGATGACGCTCCGATGGAGGAAATTACTACTGAAGAAACACCAGCGATCGCGGAAGTCAACAATGATGAAGCCTCTAGGATGGAAGAGGTTGACTAAGTTTGTTGAAATGTTCTTTTTTATAATTATTTATTATTGTTATTTTTCCAAAGACTTAACGTCACCAAGACTGCAAATTTATTGAGTATTATCACAGCAGAGCTTTGAGAACAAATATCTCAATTTAGGGTGGTTTTTTTTAACATTTCATTCATTTTTCATTCAACGTAACGAGATAAGTTGTAAGTTTCATTCCATTGCCATTATTAATGTAAAATAACTTATTTAATAATTAAGAAACTGTAAAAATCGACGTTGGTTGTGAAATAAATGTGAGAATAGTTAATACTTAAAAAAAATTGTTTTTATTTTTATTTAGATTTTTTACCCTTTATATAGTTGTTTTAACAAAATTTCAAGTTTAATTTTTTTTTTTTTATTTAAATTGATGAAAATTAATTTAGCAGGTATTTAATCATTTTTAAAACTTTTAATAAACAAATAAATTATAGAAAAAAAATAGACTGAAAATTTTTTATAATAATTTCTTGCAATTAATTTAATTTTCAAATAAAATCAAGAATTGGTCAAGCTAACTTGAGGAAATCCTTTCGGTCTAGTTGAGTCAAAACAATTGTAGTAGTCAATATACGATAAATTAAAATAAAAAAACCCATAAAAATTCCTAAAATTAAATAATAAATAGTATATGAGGCATTAATCGTTGAAATTTTAAAAATAAAAAAAAAAAATAGTTAAATACAAAAATTAATTTGACTCTTTCAAATCAACTGCTAGTAACCTGTCCGTGATTTGGCAACGCTGTACTTCGGTTGTTTACATTTTCATTTGCACAATATAACCTTAACCACGTTTAAGTTTTTGCAGTCAGAGTAAATAAATAAATTAGTTTGAATTTATTGAATGGTCTGAAGCTCGCGCGCTACGCAACGTTGCCAAATATTTTGACTCCATATTAATGTATATTTTGACTCCATATTAAGGAAATCCTTTCGCTCCAGTTAAGTCAAAACAATTGTAGTAGTCAATATACGATAAATTAAAATAAAAAAACCCATAAAAATTCCTAAAATTAAATAATAAATAGAATATGAGGCATTAATCGTTGAAATTTTAAAAATAAAAAAAAAAAAAAATAGTTAAATACAAAAATTAATTTGACTCTTTCAAACCAACTGCTAGTAACCTGTCCGTGATTTGGCAACGCTGTACTTCGGTTGTTTACAATTAATATTTAATAAAATTTAAAAGTTTATAATTATAAATTAAAATTTATATTAATGACATTAAAGTTAGTTGTAATTTGATAAATTTTTAATTTAACAATTAAATTAATTTTTTAAAAATTGCATTTGTAATTTTTTTTAATTTTTACATGACAATTTTTCTTATTTATTTAGCCACAATTTATTTGTTGACAAAAGTTCTAAAAATTATTAAATATCTGATGAAAGTTAAGTTAGCCGATATTTAAAAATCTTGAGAACTTTTTTTTATTTAAAAAATTATTGCAAAATGATAAAAAAATTTTTTATTTATAAAAAACTTGAAAAACTTTAAGTGCAATTTTTAAAAAATATTTTTTAAAAATTGCGTAATCATTAAAAAAAAATCAAAAAATTAAAAACGTCGGCTAACTTCAGTGTTATAAATATTTGCTAAATTAATTTAAAAAAATTTTTAAATTTTAGTTAGAAAAAATTAATTTTAATAAATTTAAATTTTCGCGCCAAAAGATAATGGCCGAAAAAAATCCAACCAGCCAATGAGAAGATTAGTGTTGCCATGACTACAGTGACGTCAGCACTCTCAAGGACAAAAGCAATTGCAGCTTGTTGCTCAACGTTCGTTGTCACTTGCTTGTCGTTACATCGCGAATAAAACTGCGTCATACTTAAAACTCATTAATTAATAATAAAACTCAGTGATAATTTTTAAAATTGTGTTGAATTAATTAAGATTTTTCTGAATAATTATTTAAATTTTTAACTCATCTTAAATTACAAGAAATTTTTAACAATCAACAGTACAAAAGTTTAACCTTAAAACAGTTCGACTGTGTTTGAATTTAGTTTTTAAAATTACAGTGCGTAATTTTTTTTTATTTAATAAAAAGTGATTATTAAATCAAATTAATATTGAAAAATAATTAATTGTTTCATTAAAAAATTCAAGTTGAAAAAATATTTTGAAACTAATTTTATTTATGAATCAAAGATGGCGCCTCGGTCAGCCAAAATGTCTTTTCCCGCGTCTTTGTCCGGATGATTTGCAAGTTTTTATAAATTTTAATTTAATTAACAAGTTTTTAATTAAAATTAATTATTTATCGTGTTTTAAAATTTTTTTTTTATAAATAATAAAATAAAAAATAATTAATTGAATCCGTGAAAATGTCAAGAAACGTCAAAAAAATAATATCAACGCTTCTAGAAGGTTCTATATGACACGTTCCTGGTTTTCCGTAACTAAATCATCAACTGGTGAGTAATTTATACAATAAAAAATAATTTCATCATACAATTGAAGTCAGTGAATTTTTTAACATTGTTTTATTGTTAATTAATTAATTATTGAAAATGAAAAAAACAAAATGAGCCTGCAAAAAATAAGCTTGTACTTAATTAAAACAGCAGATGGCGCCAAAATGGCGTTGGAAAAGTAAAAAAATGCAGGCGTCGATAATCAGGATTTTATTTTATTATTATTATTATTAGTACAAAACATCATTTATTAATAACGATTAAATGATCGTTCTACGAAGCATTTATCATAATAATAAGCTAAATAAGAAAAGGTAGCGGTTATATTAAAATAAACGAGATAATTTATGTTTATATGATAAACAATAATTTATGAGTTATTAATTCAATTTATGGCATTAATAATCCCATATATTAAATATTCTGCTGGGTGTTATTTATTTTCACTTATCAATCTTATCGCACTCGTTTCGCTATAAATAAATACACAAAAGGTACCGATGGTGATTTAAATAGAGCCAATAAATAATAATAACAATAAAAATTAAATTAACCATATAAATAAGGTGAGTAAGACCTAAAGAAATAAAGAGAATTATTATAATCAATGTTGTTATACTGTAATAATTGTATTTTATTTTATTTTTTTTTTTTATATTGCGTTGAGTAAATGAGATAAGACAAGATTTAATCTTTGACGATAAGTCAAGCAGCTGTCTGGTCTCTATTTATTTATCTATTGAGTTCCTGTTTCTCATCGACGAGAGTAAAAGTAACTAAACGGGACGTCCCTGAAAACCGAAAGTACTAGTTGTATTTTATTATACAGGCCAGGTGATAGTTGGTTTGTCGAGAATTTAGTTTTGTACATTCGACGTATCAGTACTCACTATTTATGCTCCAACATTTATGTATGTATGTATGGATGTATATTCCCAACACATACTCTTATACTCAAACTTAAGCCACTAAACAAGATAGAGAACGAGACTCTAACAAATGTCTTTGTAAGTGGCTTAGAAATATTAAATAGAATAGAAAAAAAAAAAAAAGAAAAAACTCCCGTTAGTTATAAATGTCCGTCACCTGCGAGGTCGTCTTCAAAAACTTTAAACATAAAATATTCCTAATAAATGACTTTAAATCTTTGATTTTTTTTATTAATTAAATTACAACTAAAAAGATATTTTTAAAAAATTGCACTTATAGTTCTTCAAGTTTTTTACATGTGAAATATTTTTTTTAATTGTTTAATTGAAATTTTTTCAATAAAAAATTTGTCGGCTAACTTCATTTTCATTAATAAATAACATGAAAATTAATTTAGTATATATTTAATAATTTTAAAAACTCTATAACAAATAAATGATGACAAAAAAAAAATTGACATGTGAAATTTTGTAAAAAATAAAAATGCAATTTTTTAAAATGATTTTTGCGACAAATTTTTTGTTAAATAAATTAAAAATTGTTAAGTGACTGCTAACTTTAATGCCATATAAATTACACTGAAGTTGGCAAGCATCTAAAAATTTTTGATTTTTTTTATTAATTAAATTACAACTAAAAAGAGGTTTCCAAAAAATTGCACTTGAAGTTTTTTAAGTTTTTTACATGTGAAATTTTTTTTTAATTGAAATTTTTTCAATAAAAAATTTGTCGGCTAACTTCATTTTCATTAATAAATAACATGAAAATTAATTTAGTATATATTTAATAATTTTAAAAACTCTATAACAAATAAATGATGACAAAAAAAAAATTGACATGTGAAATTTTGTAAAAAATAAAAAATGCAATTTTTTAAAAATGATTTTTTGCGACAAATTTTTTTGTTAAATAAAATTAAAAAATTGTTAAGTGACTGCTAACTTTAATGCCATATAAATTACACTGAAGTTGGCAAGCATCTAAAAATTTTTGATTTTTTTTATTAATTAAATTACAACTAAAAAGAGGTTTCCAAAAAATTGCACTTGAAGTTTTTTAAGTTTTTTACATGTGAAATTTTTTTTTAATTGAAATTTTTTCAATAAAAAATTTTTAAAACTTTTGAAATGTCGGTTAACTTAATTTTCATTCCTAATAATTATTTGAAACAAAACTAAATTATTAAAAAAAAATTAATTTCCTTAAAAAAAATTATTTCGAAGTAAATAAAAAGCAATGCACGATTTTACCTCCAAAAAATATGAATAGTAAAAAAAGATATCCCAAGTAAAGTATAGTGAGAAGGTTTTTTTCTTTATATTCTCCATACTTATTATATTTTTTTTTATTTCAGAGTGTTGGCACCGCGGCCATTTTGATTTTGCGTGATGTCACGACGTGGCCTACTTTAGGCCACTCCACGTGCACGGGTCATCGCCCTCGAGCTCTAGTCTCTATCCCACTCACAACACATTTAGTTCCCCTTGGCGTCTTTGTTCTCTTCTCTCTTTCTCTTGCATACTACAAAACCCATACATACATCCATCCATGCATACATACATAAAATAGTCTATGTATTTATATTACATAGGCCTCTTTATTTCATTTGGTTTCTTTCAACACGGACAACACCACCAATACCAACTACACGGTTAAAACTCTGCTAGGCGTTTAATTCTTGTAGCATGCTTTCAACAAAATCTCT